CTTTCAATTTTTATGTATATTTTTACATAATATTGCATATTAATTTGTAGTTTGATAATATCAGTTAAATGTTTGAATATTTATGAAATGAAATTGTTAGAAAAATAAAAGAGGGCGCAATTTTTCTTTATTAGATTGGGGTGCGCATCGCAAAAATGGTTTGAAACCACTGACTTGAACACGAACAAACACAGTTAGCGGGCGAACCCGAGCACTGCTCGCCAAAGTTATTGTTTTTAGGCGATAAAAATCGACTACAATGGTTCTTTATTGGGATATGTTTAGCTTAGATATGATAAGAGCAGATGAATTATCAATCGTTGCGGTAATAAATTAAATTTGAACGACATTTGAGATCACGAATAAACACTTAAAAAGTCTTTCTGGATAGCCATCAAGAGACATGTTATTTTTATACGATGTCTGTGTTATTTTTATTAATCAATGATTACACTCGAGCATTACGACTTATAATCTATTTTATATAACACTATCTGTAAATTTATAAAAAAAATCTGGATTAATCCTTAAAAAAATTATCGAGACATCTTATCGGGTTTAATTTTTTTTGACATTCTGAAAAATTTGCCGCCCCCCAAATTCTGCCGCCCTAGGCCCGGGCCTCACGGGCCTATGGGGTAATCCAGCACTAAAGCAAATTCGGCAAATGAAATTATTGATTTTGATTCCACTTGAACTAGTATAGATCTCCTATCTTGGGATTCACCTGAAGGTACTTTATTAAATATTTTTGAATAGAATTGTTTTATAATTCTTAGGAGGTGAATCTCTAACACCAGCTCTCCAAATCATCCATCGAGGAAGTCCATCAAGCGTGGAATTTAGTCTTAAACATGATTTTACATATATTTATATTTTTTAGAAATTATTTTTATGTGCAATTTTATGATTGTGTTTATATAACTTTAATATTTATAGATGCTATTTATAGCTGTTTTATATTATTATATTGTCTTTAAAATATGTTTGTAATTTTAATTTTAGGCTTTTATGAGTAAATACATTAAATATATTAAGAATTTTTAAGTGAGTTGTGATAATATTTAAATTAATTCAGTATTTCATAAGTGGTTTTTTGTAATTTCTGTTCCTTATTAAAATTATTTTGAATTGTATCATATTGTGTTTTTATTTTAATGCAAATTAGATTTGATACAAAAATTTGCAGCATACCTCAATAAATGTATTCGATTTAATTTATCTTGAAATAATATAAGTTCATTGTTTAGTTTAATATAAATTAATTAAATGATTGCAATAATTAATACATTAATTAATTTATTAGTTAAGTCTGTGAATTGTTCTTAAATGTGGATTGAGGTTATTTTGCCATCAAACTAATGACAGTTCATAATCAGTTCAATCAAATGGCAATTTAAAAAGTTTAATTAAACAAAAATATATTTTTAAATTATATTTTTATGGTATTTTAAATTATATTAAATATAAAAAAATTGACCATAAAATATAAAAAATATCATAATAGCTGTAGTCAATGCAACTACAAGATAATAATTGAAAATCGTTCATATCTGAATATAAATATAAGTTATGTAACAATTTGATAATTTATATATTCACCTCCAACAAGTCCTTTAATTAGTTTTGATTTTTATTGATTAGTCAATTATAAAATGTCTTTTAAATTGTATATTCGTATGCCCCATCCCATAAAAGACGAAAGAGTATTTCTGTCAAGACGTAAAACAGCAAAATTTTGCTTTATTATATTCGAGGACGAAAATACATATAAATTAGTTATGAAAAATTTCCAAGGAGTTTGCATAAATGGCAAAAATTAGTTGCGAAGAAAGCTTTGGCCACAGATCTAACAATAAGAAAACGCAAGAAAAAACTTAAGCAGGCTTTTACAATTGATACTAAAGGCGATGCTGATGATATGAATAGGAGTATGGATGTTAAATTTAATTCTGTGTATATAGAACAACGGTCAGTGGCTTCATCTGCACCACCAACGGAAGAAACTGTGATCTACCAGAAAATGCAAAGTACGACTAAAAGAAAGATTATAACTCCAAAGCTACGGAGGTATTTTTAAAACAAACTATTTAGCTTTATAATCCATTAACTGTTTATTTTTATATTTATTGAAATAAAATTGTATTTATAATACTCTTACTTAAAGGAATATAATTAGGATTTTGTGTCCGTGTTAATAATGATTCACGACAAAACAACAAATGAAATGCAATTGAATTATATTATACAATTTTAATACATATTCAATTATATTCAAGGTTTTTGGGAATGTGTTAAAATTGAAATCACACTTGTCTTATATGTACAAAGATTTAATCAAATGACATTTGCGGGAAGAAAATGTATGACAATCTAATTTCTGTGTCAACCACATATATGGTGCTCGATATTTACACATTTACTAAGACTAAATTTTCAGTACTTATTTGCTATGACAAAGACTTGGTTGGATAACACATCGTACACAATTATTTAAATAAAATAAATTAAGATGAATTTGTTATATACATACATTTTCAAAATAAATATATGCATATAAGATTTGAAATTAAATACACTCGCGTGTAATGTATCTCATTTTATGTATATAAAATACTATATATTTCTGATGTGGTCGGTATAAAATATACATACATAATTTGTCTTTCAAATTCTTATATTGTAAATATAAAACAATTCATCTAAAATTCAAGTTTAAAATCTTGCTAAATTTTCGGTATATTCTGCTTCGTCCCGCTGCTCTTGGCCAAATTCTGCGAAAAAAAGGGAAAAAGAAGGAGGAGGAGAGAGAAGGGGGAGGTGGAGAAACCAAAAAAAAACTCCCCTAAGTCCCAGATCAATTTTTCTCTTTTCTGTTCAGCGTTGAATCTTTTTTATGTTTTTTAGTGCTCCCTCACACCAATTCCCAAAGTCAACACTCGAATGAAATGAAGTCCACCTTGAAATTTTCACACCGAGAAAAAATTACTGGGACTTTGTTAAAATTTTTAACTTCCCGAGTCAAAAAATAAGTTCTAATTAGGACCCTAAGCTTCGAACTAGCTGCTTTTAGGTACATAAAGCTCTTTCCAAGTACGTAAAAACAGTTACAAGCTCTTTTAGAATCGAAAGTACTACAAATAAACACATTATATTTTTGACATATACAACATAACCTCATCGCATAAGCTCGCCACTAGCAGAACATCTGAAAAATGCTTAAATTTACATATTTGTTTAAATGTATAAACAGAATATATGATATGTCAAATCTCCAATTTCTCATGTAAATAATTAAACATAATTAAATGTATTACAACTAATAATGAAGTGTAATAAAAAAAAAAACATTTTAATAATGAAATTTATTAAGTACATAACATACATAAACGAAACTAATAATTTTTAACTCTTTGTTGCCTTTTTTTTACTCTAATTCATACTTATTTATAGGTAATCCTACATAAATATTTCCATCAATATTGATATATATACAAACATATAGTAATGATTTTACAGGAATAGCAATGAAGCTTTTTTTTCTTGTACATTTTTTTATAAATGAATAATTTAAACTTTTATATAATATTTATGACCTTTCCCGATGAAGCAATCTTCAATATTGGATTCTTCCACAATAGCAAAATGTTCATTATTAATTTTTAAAAAAAATGCAAGAATCCAATATTGTATTTGTTATTTAAATTGTAAGAAATAGCACTGGAATAAGTTTGCATGTTATTCCTGTACATTTCAGCAATAAATAATTGATCATTCTTCAAAACTCGAAGATAGTATTTTAAAGAAATGTTTTCAACTGTAATGTTAGATAGTTCGAAGTGCAACCTCTACTTTGCTTGGAAACTCTTTAAATACTTTATATACTCCAACACTATAAGTATGTTCAAATATTTTTTCAATTATCTTCACCTGTTTTTTTCTTGTTAAGCAAAACTCTTTAACTTCCTTATTTTTCATACATCCAATTATTTTCTCCTTCTTTATATAAAATTCTTGAGATTTGCTTACTTGAGAATCAATATGCCGTGTTCCATGAATTAATTTTAATAATTGGCCATTTATATCCTCATATTCGAAACAAGAATATACCCACAATGGTCCAAGATTCTGTACACAGTCTGGTAAATGTAATAATTGATGTACATTTATGGAGCAGTACATTTCACTATACAAGTATTCAAAACATTTAACATATTTGTGTAAAAAATCTCTAGCAACATCAAGTTTATACAAAGATATAGTATTGGAATTCAAAATGGAAATTCCAGCCACCAGCAACACATAATGTTCAAAATATTGTGGTGCAAGAATTCCATACAAAACAGGTAACGAGTAATGAAAGAACCACAATTTTAATTCTGATGCTTTCCAATGTAGTAACTCTGTAACACTTCGAGGCATCCGATGCACAAATTTGGGTGGTTTTATCGATTTTAATCTAGCATCAATTACATTTATCACGGCATATAAAGAAAAAGGCTTATTTTTAAATTCAGTATTGAAAAATAAAGATAACAATTTTTTTACAACACCACCTTCTACACAATGCATCCTATCAATGGCCATCCCCATGACATAATCAGGCATAATCAGTGAAAGTGCTGTGGAACCTTTGATTCCCATTATTGGTGCATCTCTTGAAGCATTGTCAGCAAATGATCTGCAATTTTGTAATGTTCTTTTCTCAATATTATTAGTATATGGGTATACGTGAACATTACCACCTGTTTCTAATGTAAAATTCATGCCTGGGCAAAAACAATATGAGCAACCGTAGTACCCGTTATACTGGACAAAATTTAAACAATCACTTCTAGCAGGCAAATCACAAGTGCCCAACAAAAGAATACCCTTGACTGTAATATTAATTCTCCGACATGGTATGTAAACCTCAATACCATTGACAAGTTTCTTTAGATCATCATAAAACACATGAAAAAAATAATTCATATTAGGCTTTTTGTCTCCATACCAAAGACCTAATAATAATGTATTTTCCCTTTTTTGCGTTCCTTAATAGGTAACTCATTAAGTGTTAAATAAATAGGCCATGCACTGATTTTTGAGGATTTAAATACTGGTATGCCGTCTGTATACCAAGTGAATGAAATATTGTCAGGGTTACAAAGAAAGCCCTTTTGTACATATTTACGGTATAAAACACCATCATAGACATCAGATATACAATCTGGGTTATTATTTATCCGCTTATTATGGCAATCTTGTAGCTTCGAATAAAATCCATCTCTCTTGTACATTTCTCTCAAGTGTTCAAGAAATGGTAATTGAATAAAATATGGATTTTTTTTTTGGGGACATGATGGACAAATGCTGTCAGACTCCAGTTGCACTCGACCACAGAAATGGCAATAGTAATGTTTAATAAATTCAGAATGATCTAAAGAAAAATATTTTCTAAATTTGTACAGACTGTTTTTAACCAGTCTACTTTTCATACAATGCAAATTAATAACAGCAATTATATCAGCTATGCACTCTAGTGAAACGTTATGACGTAAAAAAATCATTAATATGAGAAACATGCTATTTGATACTGTTATTGGAGCATTTTCGTAAACCTGTTCATCAAAATTGACTTCTCTCTCTTCGGGTTGATCTAATTCAGATTCATCTTCCACTTCAAACACACATTTATGTTCAAGTTCATCTTCTTGATCATTTTGTTGAGAATAATCATAAACATCATTTTCAAGAATAGTATCATATCGTACACCATCATCACTGTAAAACGTATAATTAGACAAATTGATATGTGTAACAAAAATACAAAAAATAATTGATTTATAAAATGAAATGAAATCTACATGCTTACCGTGTGAGAGTTGAAATATTTTCAACTAAGTTTATAGATTCTCTATTATTACATCCATTAAAAGCTTGCATTAGCCGTTTTCGCATTTGTCGAGGGCTAACTTGATCTATAGATTTCCTTGGTATCATTTTAATACTTATATAAATGACAATTAATATATAAAACAACTCAAAAAATGAAAACACCAAAATTGCAAACACAAAAAACTGTATATGCAACGAAATTCAATGTGCACGTACATTTCGCGCCATAAAAGCTTAACAAGTTGTCTGCCGACCACTCTGAATGCCTATGTTCATTTTTTTTATGTTATAATTATAGCAAACTGAAAATTATGTGATCATAAAAAATATAACATAAATAAATAAAAATATAATTTACATTAATTTTAATCTAAATAAATGATAATATAACATAAATAATAATATAAATAAAGACGAAAAAACACATAATGCAGAAAGGCAGAAAGACATAAATAAATAATACTATTATTTACATTAATTTTAACATAAATACATAAATATATAACATAATAATAACATAAATAAAGACGAAGGAACACATAATGCATAAAAGTAGCGAAACTACGGTCGGCGGTCAACTTGTTATCAACATCTGGTTTTTGAAACATAGTAAAATCCCGAGAATAGCGAAATGGCGTTGGCGTCGGTAGAGTGATTTGATCATTTGCGCGGTTTACTTGTTGGGTTTCGTTTTTGCTTTAAATTGTGTTATTTAAATTTAATTAATAAATTTATTTAATTATTAAAAATGCCTAGAACACAAATGTTTGCGTTAGTGTTGTGGATGGAATCAAATACACGTTGTACCGATATATTTCCTTTGAGGAGTATTTGCCCTACAGATAGGTATGTGAATGCAATCACAAAATTAAAGTGGAAGAAAAGCAACAATGATAAGGCAGGCAGAGGCGAAGCAAAGGTTTTGGCTATTAGCGGTATGTATATCTCAATAATTATTTTATAAAATGTATTAAATTTATTTTTAACTGAAAATATTGAATTTTAGATGATATGCAATTCTTGAACAATATGATTGTTAGTGTGGATGGCGACATAAATGTTCCTGCTAACAAAATATTTATGGAAAATATTGTTCAGAAAAATGCATCTTTACAAAAAAATCGAAAGGTAGAGCAGATAGTTGCTCTATCGAATCGAAAAGTTATGGATGCCAGGCTAAGGGTTAAGCCAACTATTTTTGATGGTGGTAATGCACTTAGCCTCACTAATGTTGACCAGGAGTATGTGATACTTGATGATACACCCATCGATTATGTTGACGACCAAGGCAACATGCTTATTATTAATGGAGCTCCTGAGTCTACACATGAGATTCAGGAAATAATTAGTGTGAATGACAGTGATTCTGAAGAGAGTTGTAGTTCTGCTAAATCAGCAAAACTACAGTGCTCAGAGGACAATGTTAACGCAGTCCCGCTGACAATTTCTTTTAAAGGTGCAGTATAATATTTTAAAAATAATGTTTTTTATATCGAATAACTACATATTTCTATTGAATTAGTTACCCCGGAAATAATAGAGAGTGCACGTGTGTGCAATGATAGAAAACAATTATAATTTCAAGGTAGTTATAAACTTCTCTTCATAAACCATGTAATATTTATGCAGAGTGCACCGTAAGTCTTTTTACTTTTTTCTTTATTTAAAAGGTACACAAACTCCATTTGTGACCCATTCAAAAGCAAATTGACTTTTAGTTCACACTGTAAATAAAGATAATGTAATTAAGGATATAATTTATGTTCCAATCAACAATCTTTTTTCTACTTATAGATTCCAGCATGCTTCTACACTCCTGGAGAAAACATGGTAAATTAATGAATAAAATGCTTGCTTTTATAAGATATTTTCAATGCTAGGACTAAATATGTTTAATTCTGTAAGAAGAAATATCTCCAGGGTGTGGATTCTTTCTTCCCAAAATAAAATAATATATATTGAGCAAATGTCGAAAGCAAACGGAACAGAAAATGGCTGGATGAATGTAGTAAGGGAGGTGCTGCTTCTCGTTTACGGGGAGCAGTTGAAAAACTTCTCAGCCACTGGGAATCGACCAAAATTTATTTGGAGGGTTAATTGGTAAATTTTTAAACATGCTTATATTGATATAATTGATATTATTAAGTATCTACTGAGGATTTGAAAAACATTAACAGCTACATAACTGAAATATAATTTATGCACATGAATCTAAACTGTTTTTAATGAAATAAATTGATATTTGTAAATGTGAATAGTATTAATGCAAGTATTATTTTTTCCAGATTGGTGCCGTCGATTAAAATTTATGCTAGACAAAAAGTCATTTATACATTATGTAAATAAATGTTGTGCCAATAAACGGGCAAATAAAAAATAAATATAAAATGTGTTTAAATTACTTATTTATATAGGTATACCTACTTCAAAGACCTTATAAATACATATATAATTGCAATCCATATGTATTATAAGGCCTATGACCTACCTACATTTTTATAAAATTTCAGGAAAATTTTAAAATCGTAATAACCTAACCTCAAACTTACACCCTGACAGTTTTGACATTTATGCTCTTTTAAGTAGCTGTAGTACCTTGAAAATGCAGGCTCTTTTAGGTAAATTACGTTCCTAAAACTGCAGTATGTGGGGTCTAATATACCTAAAAGATCTTAAATTTATATGGCGAAAAGTGGTTAATTCTCAGGTTTCGGAACTGTTTTGAGTACTTAAAAGATTTTAAATTTCGACTCGGGTTTGCCCCATTGAAATTTTCTCGTTATGAAATCTTCAATGTGAGCCTCATTCGTTCGAATGTTGGCTTTGGGATGATATAGCATGCAAAAATAACTTGTATGACTTAATCGAAAAGGTTTCAGATAATTTGGACTTAGAAAAAAATAACATATCTGAAAGGACTTAGAAAAAAAACTATTCGAAAGAATTATAATCAGAAAATTTTTATTTTACTAAGATTTGTGAAACAAAAATTAAGTATAAAATTTATATATAAACTGAATGAATATATGAACTGAATTATGAACAATAACAAAATTTATATATAAATGACATTTATACTAGTTCGACATAAATATTTAAAAAACTAATTATTAAAGTTTCAAAATTTAACAAAAATGTTGAACAAATTCACATGGCCTACAAAATAATAAATCCAAAATATGGTGAATAAATCAGTTGTTTTATATGAAAACTATAAAGGTCAATTTATTTATTTTTATACCTTGCTTTATAAGTGATAAAGTGACTTAACTTTCATTGCTTGGCCCAGCATTATTAAGGTTTGTTTTATTTGTTTTATTCAGACTGGAAACATTTTTATTAGGCTTGCCTTTTGTAGTGGTGTTGCTCTTAGTTCGAGGTGTACTATTTGTTTTATTCATTTTAGAATTGAATTGATTATCATTCCTCGAAGCAATACCGACTGGCTTGAAAGGCGGTTTTGCTTTCATTTTTTCCTCTTTTTCACGTTTTCTTTGTTCGTCCTTTTCCTTTTTCCAAATCAAGTACCTCTCAGCCCATGGTAATTTTTTTGTTTTATTATTTTGCGTTGCACCACTTAGGCTTGGTGAGTCTTGGTCTATATTCCTGTTAGTAGCAAACGCTACTGACCTCCTATCTCGGAGTAGACTTGCATTTTGTTTACGCCTAGCAGACGCTTCAGTACCCGCTAAAGTGTTCTGCTTATATTTAGAACGCAAGTCTAAATTTTTCGACCTAAAAATAGTATATTATTATGATTTCAAGCAATTAATTCAACGAAAGTTTCAGTAACGGTTTTTCACTCACATTGTTGTATTGTATGGCCCAAAATTCCGTTTTCTTTTGAATACTTTTCTTTTTTACAAATTTAATTCATTCAGTTACAAATTCACAATAATTATCTGTTATTGAATAATCTTTCAACTCCAACTGACTCCAACGATCTCCAAAACACGTTTGAGGTGAAACACAGTTGAGGTGATTCCTCAACGCAATCAAGGCCGTAGAACACAAAAAAAATATTGTGAGATGGAAATAAATTTTGGAACGATATAGCGCCACTTGCGGTAGGTTACTGACAAATATTAATAGTGATTTATTAACTTCCCGTAGGGTAAGTTATTGTAATGGGCCGAAACTCGGAATTGAAAATTTTAACATTTTTCGACGTTTTGAAGGTTTCTGAACGTTTTGGCATACCTCAGAAAAAATGGATGTGTGTGTGTGTGTGTATGTATGTATGTATGGATACAAATTTCCAGTCACGTTTTCGGGCGTACGGATCAACCGATTTGAATGGTTCAAAAAACATTCGATTCCTATTGATAAGGAGATGTGCTGATTAGTTTTTGGCAAAGGCAGGCCCAGCAGTTACAAAGATAAGGAGCAAAAAGTGCAGAAAATAGAAATCGAGTTTTTGAGAGAACGGAGCATCCGATTTGAATGATCTAAAAAACATTCAATTAGTAATGATTGGGAGAAGGTGTTATTAGTTTTTCACAAAGGCAGGCCCAGCTATTTCGGAGATACAGAGCTAAATGTACAAAAAATGGCAGTTTTTGAGATAACTAAGCGTTCGATTCAATTGATTCAAAGAACTTGCTGCTTGTATTAACAAAATAATTGATTTTGAAAAAAAAATATTTCAATTTTTTTTTTTTTTTTAATTTTTTGTATATCGAAATTAATTCAGATTTTGTTTTTAATTCTGACTATAGTTCTAATATACTTTAAACAAATAATTTCAGCTCTGCAATTCAGTTTATATAATTCTTATAAATATAAGACAATGTTACAATATTAATAATAATCTATTTGAAAAAATTTCAGTATTCCTCGAACATTTTGTTACGGTACGGGAAGTTCCAGTAATTTGCCTTAAGGCACGATGCCACCCACCCCACTAGTTTGATTCAGATTTAGATGTAAATTAAAAACTAATTTGTACCAGAGTCTAAAATCTATTAAAGCCCTTAAACAATTCCCTTATATAAAAAAGCAATAAATTTCTATAGCATAAAAATATTGAAACGCTATTACTGTTTATTATTATGTTGATGTAATTGATTGTTTATTATGTATTATTATAAAGGAAAAGGAACTCT